TCTGAAGAGGAAATTATGGACTGGTATTGGGCATATGAGCTAATATCGGACTTATGGACTTGATCAGGACTGGGCTGGGATGCTTTCTTAATATACAATACTCTTCGATATAAAGCTCTTTCTTATACACATATGAGTGCCCTGGATTTGCGTCTCTATCAACCCTGACTAACACAGTCCCTCACCCAGGAATGCAGATACAGGGACTGCAGCAGCGCTCTGAGTGCTACTGGGAATGGGGGCCACCTTTAAAGACCTGGTTAGGCTGAGGGACAGCAAGTTGAATTTTAGTGGTAACAAAGTGAATTGTTTGAAGTGCCCTTCACAGATAAGAGCAACCCCACGCCCTGACCCCCCACCCAGATGTCAGTTTCCTGCATCTCTTTTCTTACCTTTCTAACCCTCCCAGTCTTTTAGGAACTTTTTTTTTTTTTTTGAGATCCATGTGCTCTGTGTTCCACATAAACCCTTCTAGCCCTCAGTTGTATTAGGACACTCTTCGATGGACAATGGCATGTGAGTAGAGATAACTTTTCCAGTTCATACATGCACAGGTTTATTCTGAACACGTCTCTGTGATCAGTAGGTGGCTGCTTCAAGTTCTCTCAGTAATATAATACACTTCCCTAAATCTCACTAGGCTATATTCTTTTAAAGGTTCTATGGATTTAAAAGAAAACAAAACTATTTTGAGATCAATACTATTATCAAGCTTTAACAAAACTCAAGTGAATATCCCCCCAAGTCATTGAAGTTTTGTTACATGACTACAAGAATGTTGGCCCACATAAAACATTTTTAGATGGATCAAGTATTTCAAATAAGGACAGGAAAACCTCAAAGATGAACAAAAAGAGAGAAGACAATTAACCGTGATAAATGAAGAAACGCTGGCTGAAGTACTGAAACTGGTGGGGAAAGACTGTGGAATTACCATCAAAGTGGCAGCTACAGAAATTGCAATATCACATGATTTGGCAGTTTTCTCCTTTTGGGGGGTATCTTCGCTTCAGCAAGCTTTTGGCTGGAGTGTGCTACATAAGCATTGCTCAAAGATTAGCTTAGCTGAAAGAGTTCATCTTTCTACCAGTCTTTAAAAAAGATTGAAGCTAATGAAAATGAGTTTATGGATTTTATATTTAGCAGTAAATATTTTATTTATGGATATGATCCAGAGAGCAAGGGCCAATCAAATCAGTGGCTTTTGAGCGGCTCTGATGGGCCAGTTCAACATAAGCCAGAAAGGCCACCTCAGCAAGTTAGACAATTGTTTGGAGGAATGCTGAAGAGATTGTCTTGATAGATTATCTCAGAAGGTAAGACAATCCTTGGGATTAGGATGATGTTTAAAGAAAATTGAAAATTGCATTGGTGAGAAAAAGACCAGAAAAAGTCCCCCCCACACACACCCCAAATTGTCCCCATTACAACAATGCATCTGTTCATTTTTCTAGAGTAGGAAAGGCTAGCCTATGAGAATTTGGCTGGAAACCCTTACCCATTCCCCATTCAGCCCTGGACTTGACCCTGCAGACTTGTGCTCTCAAAACACTAAGAATATTACAAAGGAGCATGATTTGAGTCACTCAAGGATACCAACATTGTCATTCTGACATGGTGTCCATGGAAGAACACATCATTATCCGGGGAGAAGGTCAGAGAGCTGAAACACTACCTTCAGACGTACATTGGCCTACGTGGACGCTATGTTGAGAAGCAATAACTTCATGTTTTAGTGCCTTTGCTTAATAAAAGTTTCTATGGGGTTTTTTGGGGGTGTGTAGCAAAATCTTTTTACTTAACCTTGTGCTCTGTTTTTGTCTTATGCATTCTTGCTTCTCCTGCCTTTAGCAGCCACCCTAGAGAAATGTCAGTGGAGTGAAAGGACTAGTGTTCTGTCCCAGAGAAGTCCCCACCAGCAAAGGCAGATCTCCTGGAGTGTACAGGGCACATGGATCTGCAAAAGAGTAACGATATTGCCAGGAGAGACAGAATTCCACTTTATTTACCTCAACTCTGAGTCGTTTGGTGGAAAGCTGGGGCTTCCCCCGCAATCCACTATCATGATGAAATGTCCCAAACACAGTGTAATTTCATGAGCATAATGTAGCTTTAGGTTCTAACAATCCTTGGTGTGAGCCCTGGCGCCACTGCTGTGCAATCAGGAGCAATTTACTGTACTTCTCTCAGCTCCAGCACACTCTTCTTCAAAAAGGGGGTAACAACACCTCCCGTACAAGCTGTGCAGATTCATTTAAATGACACTTACGAAAGCATTCAGTGCGTCTCTGTAGTTATTAGTGTTTCCGTTCTGCCTTAGTTGTCACCAGCATAAGGGAGCTGCCCCTGTAAGAGGATACAGACATGTTGTAGCCATGTTCAGAGGGCAGGGGCATTGCCTTGTGTCACAAGACTTAAGTGATTTCACTGCTGTTGGTGGGTAAATGAGAAGGGTAACTTGCTCCTAATATTACTAGTATGGACCCCAAATTTTTAAAAAACGTACCCTGTATCATGTTGTTAACATGCATTTTTAACCAAATTTGTTTCCTGCCTTTGGTGATCCTGGATTTTAGGTTTTGTTTTGTGTTAGTTGGGGGGGGGCAGGGTATACAACATGCTTCATTGGGCTCATCAGAAGAACCTGAACTTGACTCGACCTTAAACACGCCTGTGTCAGATTAAAGGAACTGAAAAGCTCCTTTGAACTTAAAGGTAAAATATCCTAGTATAAGAGGAAACAGAAGACTGCTGTTCCAAGGTTGTAGATTTTGAAGTTTGGGGACTTTAGTTCACATTTCTAATTTTTTTTGAGGTTGCCCCCAAATTGGCAACTTTAGACTATAATATGTTTGCTATTTTTCATATTTTATTTCTTTTTATGATATATCTTAGTTCTGTAGACAAATTATTTTTGCTTTAGTGAATGAGTGTTATTGAAATTGTTACCTTGTATCTAACCCTTATGTGTTAGTCTGGGTTGACTAGAGAAACAAATCCAGGAACAACTGTGTATATGTAAGAGAGAGCTTTATCTCATAGAGCAATTGCATTTTGAGAAAACATCCCAGCACAGTTAGTCCAGGTTGACTAGAGAAACAAATCCAGGGACAACTATGTATATGTACAAGACAGCTTTATATCATAGAGCAATTGCTTATTGAGAAAACATCCCAGCCCAGTTAGTCCAGGTTGACTAGAGAATTATATCCAGGACCAACTATGCATATGTAAGAGGGAGCTTTATCTCATAGAGCAATTGCATATTGAGAAAACATCCCAGCCCAGTTAGTCCAGGTTGACTAGAGAAACAAATCCAGGGACAACTATGTATATGTAAGAGAGAGCTTTTTCTCATAGAGCAATTGCATATAAAGAAAACATCCCAGCTCAGTCCAGATCAAGTGCATAAATTTGAGATTAGGCCAGATATCCAATATTAGTCTATAAATTCCTCTTCAGTCTCATGCAGCACTTTCAATGATGCCGAATGCAGGAAGATCACAGGCCGGTAGGTGAAAAGTCTTGTGGACCCAGTGGCAGTGTAAGCACCTCAGAGCTGGTGAGGGTCTCTACATGGCTCCTCAACAGGAAGGTGAAAAAGAGAGGAAGTTTCCAGAATCCTCACGAGAAGGCCATGCCCACATGGAGGGCATTATCAGACTGTGACCCAATTGATGGGCTAAACTCCACCTCTTCACTCTATTTATCAAGTTGCCATGAAATTATGTAGGTACACCTTAGTTTTCTTAAGCAGTGATCAGTGGTTCAAACCCACTAGCAGCTCAATGGGAAAATCTGTTTCCATAGCAGTGAAGGCTATCTGCTTCCATAAAGATGTATAGCCTCTGAAACCCTATATAGGGTTTCTGCGAGTTAGAATTGACCCCATGGCAATGGGCTTGGGGAGATTTTTAAGTATCTCTTACACTCTGCACATTCATTGGCTAATCCTAATGTTAGAGAGCAGGGATCAAGATTTAAATAAACGTAGCTTTTGGACTTCTCTACAATGTCCTCTGGGGCTATGTGAACTGAAAATATACATGGTCACCAGTTGGGTTCAAAACAACCAAAAATAAACCTCTCTGCCACCAAGTCAATTCCATCTCATCATGGTCCTATAAGTCAAAGTAGAACTTCCCTGTGGGTTTCTGAGGCTATAAAACTTTATAGGTTGGGAGCCAGCAAATTAGGTATAGGTAGAGCTGAGTCAGCCTCCTCACTCAACACGGCCGCTCACACAGAAGCAAGGAAGTGTGTTCAGTGTTTTGTCTCCAGCAGCAGCAATGGATTTGCTGTGATCGATTCCATTTTTATAGCATGTACCTCTAGTCAAACAATCATCTGCTTGTCATTCATCGGTGAGCATTTTTTAGGCCCCTGAAAAGTTCAGAGAAAAGGCAAAATTCTTCCACAGGACATATAAGCTTCTGGGAATAGGCCTATCCTAAGATGGGATCCTGGTACAGCCTCCAGGGCACCCGTAGAGTAGCCACGGGTGATTTAAACCTAAACTAAATAAAATTTAAAATCTAGTTCTTCATACTAGTCACTCTTCAAGTGCTCCACTCTTGGCCAATGGATGCTGTATTGAACAGCACAAATACAGAACATTCTGTCATTGCTGTGAATTCTATTGACATTCTTACTGTATATATGATTGTAATAAATATGATTTACATGGGGTGGGAGTAGGGGCCCAAAGTCAGCGAAGGTGGAGGAGGTCTGGTGACATGAGGGGTGAGGAAGGGCTTCTCCCAGGAGTAGCACCTTGGTTGAACCTCAAGATGAGGCTCCCAGAAAAGTCTGGGTCAATTAGTAAGAACCATTACAGGAAAAATAAGCCCATGCTAGGACCATGAGTCAGCAGCGGTGTCTTCAAAAATGAGAATCGTTTTTTCTCTTCTCGTATAAGCATAAACCTTTACGATTAAGTATAAATTGTGTGCCTTTAATACCTGTAAATTTTTAACATGTGTTTTTGTTTGTTTTTTAAGTCACAACTATCTCAGGCCTTGAATGGAGTTTCTGACAAGGCAAAAGAAGCGAAGGAGTTTCTGGTTCAGCTCAAGAACATACTGCAGCAGATCCAGGTGAGGGACACGCCGGGCCCGAAATATCAAAGTATAAACAGTATAAAGACGAAAAGAAGTCTTGTGATAATGCTTGGCACCAGTGAACATTAGTAAGTTTCATTATCCCACTGTACAGCCCTGGATGTTGAAGACCCCACACGCTTAATTCACTGGCACTCATCTGACACCCAATGAGAGACCGGAAATCCCCTGTACCAGCAACGGTCCTAGGAATTTCACAGAGTCAATAACAGAAAACCATAGACTAGAGTTCTTAAAAAATTTTCACCCGGCACGATACATCCTTATGTGGATCCTATCAAAACGATGCAGATGGTAGTTTTATACCCAAGTGTGCCCTTGTCATCAAAAACATATGAAAATACAAATTCATTGCTTTGCAAATGAATGCACTTACTGAGTGCCTATGTTGAGGCAGACACAAGATACAAAGATGGATGAGACACAGCCTCTGGCACTGGAGAACCCCATCAGTGGGGTTCCCCGTATCACACGTGCACTCTTGTGTAAATGAACACATCTGGGGGAATGGTTTATACAGATGACATCTGGGTGTAGAAAAGAAGTGAGTGCCCTTAAAGTTTTAACCAGTTACAGTGCAGAATTCAGTTCTAGCACCTTCAAGGCATGTTGTGAGTATCTGCAGACACGAGGTCTAAATCCACACAGATTATAAGAACCAGATAGATAGATGATAGATAGATAGATAGATAGATAGATAGATAGATAGATAGATAGATAGATAGATAGATAAAGATCCTACAACAAGAGCATGCTTTTTGTTTGTTAGCTTAACTTTTTATTTCCAGATCATAAAAGTAAACGTATGTGTTGACAGAAATTCTGAAAAATCGACAAACTAAGAAAAAAGATCCGCCACATTTTTCATACCCTCTTAGGATATTGACATATGTAGTTCTATTATTTTACATGTGTGCACACACACGTGTTTCTGAGATAACACTACACACAGCTTTCTATCTTGTTGTTTTTTTAATGGCCTCTCATGAGGGTTCCCATGGCATCAAAAACTGTGAACCAAGTTTGTGTGGCTATGGAATATCATGTCATTTAAATGGGCCATGATAAAAATAAATAAATGGGCCATGATTTCACAGTGTCCCTCCCCAGGTGTCTATTTATTCTGTTTTCAGTTTAATAAAATCTCAATTCTAGAGGAAGCATATTTGAAATACGACTTTGTCTATAGCACTCACCAGATTTGGGCATCATTCTCCTTAACCCTATTCTGATTCCCTTAGGAAAATGGACTAGACTACGAAGCTTGCCTGGTTGCTCAGTGTGATGCCCTGGTTGATGCCTTAACTCGGCAGAAAGCTAAATTACTCACCAAGGTTACTAAAGAGAGAGAGCACAAGTTGAAGGTAAGTACTGAGATGAAGGATACACTTTACCCCCATTACATCCTCTACAGCCAGCGCCGATTGGGCATGTCCTATGCATTGGGTAAATATAGTTGAGTAAGTAGATGAATGAGTGAATGAAACAAAGAAGTGATGAACCAGCTGGGCCCTGGACCCGGCACACTAATGCAACCATAAGAGCTATCAAAACTCACTGCAATTGAGTCGATTCTGACTTACAGCCACACTAGGACAGAGTAGAACTGCCCCTTTGGGTTTCCAAGGCTATCAATCTTTATGGAAGGAGAAAGCCTCATCTTTCTCCTGTGAAATATTTGGTGGTTTTGAACTGCTGACCTTGTGGTTAGCAGCTCAACTCATAACTCACTACACCACCAGGACTCCTGTAACCGTAACAGAGACTCCCAGTCAGCACTCAGGTTCTCCTTACACAGCTAGAGCCAACGCCCCTGCATATTGTTGTTTTAAAATCATAAGCCTACCCTTCCCATCTTCTACTAAGTCTTTGTTTTCTGCCGAAGGCCACCTCCTTTTCTCCCCTGACATGCAGAGTAGAGGCAATCCATAACAATGACTAGATTTTTCTCTTCACGTGTTTCTAGCTCTACCCACTTCTTCGGGTTCTTTCTGATGTGTAATGCACTCAGTAATCAGTAATAATCATATGGCCAATTTCCACCAAGGGAAGGACAAGACTTCCCTCATTTGACATTAGGTCCCTAGAGTTAGTGAAAGGCACCTGAAAACTATTGATGAAAGATTAACTCACTGCCAAGGAGGGCAATGTATTTTGAAGACATTGCCTAATTGAATAAAAAAATACTGTATTACTTTTAAGGAAAGAAGTAACAAAAGTTCATAATAATCTATGGTTTATAAAGATAACTCAGCAAGTCGGAAGGAAGACCCACAAACTGGTAGCTTTGAACATGCACTTTCTCTATTTTACCATCCATAGTTGAGAAGGTTTGTGCTGGTGGACACTGTGCACCCCCTGTCCCTCCATGATGGGAAGAGGGTTCCAGGAACACAGTGCACATGGTGTTCAGGAGCATGGCAGAGAGGAAGCTGGTCAGATGTTCATGGGGCATGGCAGAAAGCAAGATGTTCAGAGCAGATCAGACCAAAGCTCCTTCTTCCATATGTTTTTGTGCTATTTCTGTGACTTGCTGAAGCCTGGCTTCTAGATCTGATAAGAATTTCTAAAAGAGCATTTTCACTGCAGATGGTTTGGGATCAGATCAATCACTGTACATTGAAGCTTCGCCAATCGACAGGGCTGATGGAGTACTGCCTGGAAGTGATCAAGGAGAATGACCCTTCGGGGTTTCTACAGGTGAGCCCACTCCTAGAGGATACAAGGTGGGCATACCTTCTCTTTTTCACCTCTACTTCTATCCCCGAAGATGAGCAGGAGTTTTAGGGACGATCCCTTCCAGAGGCTTGGAATCAAGTAGATTTTCTTTCGTTCAGCAATTCCAGAAGACCTAGATTCTCACCTTGGATCCATCTCTGAACAGCTGTGATTCTGCTCTCCTTTGACTGCAAATGAGGAGGCTAAAGGCCATAATCAATAATAGTTCAATGCTTTGCTTTTATTCTTGAGTTTCCATGTTTCCCTCTTCCTTGACCAAATCGAAAAGGACAGGCTTTGTGCCGGACAGATGTGAATGAGAGAAGCTAGCTAGAGAACCACATGACTATCATTGTGCAGCATCCTACCTGCCTGGGCAGGTGACCACTGCCTACAGAGACCCATGCAACCCATGCTGGTTGTTCTCTCCAGCGCAGTCAGTAACTCGGAGTCATAAAGGCTCTCACAATTCAGTCACTTGTCTTTAAGGAAAGTGGTGAATCCTCCTAGCACTTCCGATCATGATTCTGCTAGACCAGGTACAAATTTCTGAGTAAGCAAAACTTTCCAGTAAAGGAGAGTAGGGCTATGATTGCGAGACTTTGAGAGTAGATAAGTGCAAGGAAATGAGTCAGGGAAAGGAGATTTCCTAGTTCTGGGTACATGATTTCTTCGGACCCTGGGATAGAGTATTAGGATAATTCACTTTGCAAAAGGCTGGCTCTAACAAAACAGATATAAGGAAGAATCCTTTTGTATAACTAAAAAAGTGCTATTTGTTTTAAAAAAAAGTGTTGACCCAATTTCTTTCATAGCATGTGCTTCTGTACATTGAATGTGACTATGTCTTTAAAATATGGCTTAAGTGATATAATGCACTTTGTAAGGGCCAGCAAGGGCAGAAGTAGTGTTTATTCTCTAAAGTGGGCCTGAGAGGAGATGCTCAGCACAGCTCCTTCCATATGGCTTCCTCCCTGAGCCCTAAGTACAAAACCCTAGTGCTTCCTCACCACTTGCTGCACAATTTCATCTTTCTAAATTGAGACCCAAAACTCTGTGCTCCCTTTAAGATCTCTGATGCCCTGATCAAGCGTGTCCAGGTGTCTCAGGAACAGTGGGTGAAAGGCGCCCTGGAGCCCAAGGTGTCTGCGGAATTCGATCTGACTTTGGACAGTGAGCCTCTGCTACAGGCCATCCACCAGCTGGACTTCATCCAGATGAAATGTAGGGGTGAGCTGTGGTTGGCACCACTTCCATGCTTCTCCTGGGACAGGCATTCGTTCATGGGGACCAATTAGAACTGTTGGGTGATAGGTCATCTATGGAGTGTGGAAGAGTGGTGCTGAGTCAAGGACACGGGGTCACATCCTATCCTGGTCACATCCTATTCGCCCCCCCAAAAAAAGTCTAATAAAAATAGTGGCCATAGGACAATTATGGGAACTTATTAGGAAGATGTTTGAAGAAAATGGAAAACTACATTAGTGAGAAAAAAGCCAGGAAGGTTGCCTGGAGGAATTTTTTCCCATCATAACAAAGCACTTGCATGTTCTTCAGGGATAGCAAGGGCTGTTTTATGAGAATTTCAATGGAAACGTTACTCCATATAGCCCACAGTCTGGATCTTGCCTCTTCGGACTCCCTGCCCCCCCTCCCCTTCCCCCCACCTACCACCACCAGAAACACCAAACTCAAAGAACATTTTTAAAAGAACATGATTTGAGACCCTTTGGTTTGGAGTAAACTGAAGAGGGCAAAATGCTCTGGGGAAGGTCGAGAGATACAGAAAAACATTTTCACAAGTGGATAGACTTTGATGAAGCCTATATCAAGAAATAATAGCTTTACATTTTCATATTTTTATGAAGTAAATATTTCTGACTTTGTAGCAATACTTTTTTTTACCCATCTTTGTAGCACGGGGAGTGGGGATTGTTTGTTCATTCAGAGACATTTACTAACTGATTACCATTAACCAGGCATAATTCAGTGCTCAGGACATAGCAATGAGCAAGATTTCCCACAGAAGATTGAGTTTGTGTTGTAGTAGAAGAAATAGACATTAAATAAACAAACAGGTAACTTAATGTCTAATCATGACAGGTACTACGACAAGAAGGCAAGATAAAGAGACAGGGATGGAGATGTAGGGGAGAGTATTACAGGAGACAGAGGGATGGCAAGTGCAAAGGCCATGCGACAGGAATATATTTTCTGTATTTTAAATACAGCAAGAATGTCAGAGGAAAAAAGAGAACGAACAAGTTGGGGACTCTTGGCCACAAAGTTAGCCAGTGACAGCCAGCACTATAGTCCTGCCCTGTGTACTTCCTTCCCAGAGACACCAGGGCACATTTAGGTGATGATATAGAGGTATGTTTGTTTTCTTTATTGTTCAAAAAGAACAAGGTATCAATGGACTAAGGGTCACATCTGCAGAACTCAGAAGCCCTCGCCTGAAAAATATTTGGCCATCTTTTAATTCAAGAAAAAGCAAGTCTCTTGCACAATGCTAGGTTCATGCCACACTCAGACATCACTCTGCCACACCTACCTGCTCTAGGTGCAACTGAGATTTCATACCAAGAAGAGCCTGGCAGAAAGAGGGGGGGCTCAGCAGATAAGAAGGACCCTTGTGCCATCCCAGGTTATGTAGAAATCAGAGGTAGGAAATGAGAGCAGAGCAAGGAAATGAGAACTCAGTATAGTTGCAGGGCGTAAGAGCAAATTCTTATATTTCTGTGACATGAGGGTGGGGGGGATCAGGCTAGGCTTGGCCAGCCCTGAGACTAAGTCTCTAATCAGCGAAGTGATTTCACCTAATTGAACTGTCAACTAAATTCCAGAAGGCTGCTCCTAATATGGGTATGTATGTAGAACCAAATGGAAATATATAGTTGTTACAAAACTGACGCTAGTCTTTCCCCCATAAATAACAGTGTGATATATGTAAACTCACTGTCATCGAGCCCATTCCAACTCATAGCGACCCTGAAGGGCAGGGTAGAACTGCGCCTGTGGAGTTTGAGACTGTAACTCTTTACAGGAATAGAAAGCCTCATCTTTCTCCCTTGGAATGACTGGTGGTTTCAGACTGCTAACCTTACAGTTAACAGGCCGACATATAACCACTAAGCCACCGGGGCTGATATATATATTTTATATATATACATATACACACACACACACACACACACACACACACATATATATATATATTCTAAAACCTCTTGAATGTGAAAACAGAAAATAAAACATGGTAGTTTTTAATAGAGTTTAAATACATCTGGTCGAATCCTGCATTCCATGGTAGACTGTCTCATCCTCTGTATTGATTACTCTTCCCATATCTAGCTCCTTCAGCCCCTTAAATGTTTAGCCGAAAGTATCAGTCCCTCCCTACAGAGTGAAACAGGGACCAGCTCCGGGATAAGCTGTGGAGAGGAATCCACAGAGGATGTAGGAGGGACATAGTTCTGGACTCTGTTGGAATTCGTTTGGGTTCTCAACCGGTCAGAGTCAAAATCAGTGATCCTCGGTGGAGGGTGGGAAGAAGGTCTCCCTTATTTATGGTCTACAGACTCCGGGGTCGGAGGCTTCTACCAGGCCTCATCCTGGGTTTCTAATACCCTCGGGTTTGCAATAGTGCAATCCCCAGGCCCGTCCAGACTGTGGTTCCCAGGCTGGGTGGTACATTATGAGGCTGGCAACTACTGGCAACAGGGGGCATAAGAGCCGGGACAAGGTGGTAGAAGCGCTAACCTGCCCATCTTCCGCCACCCTCCCCCCACCCCCAACCAGTGCCACCGGTCCCGCTGCTGCAGTTGGAGAAGTGCTGCACCCGTAACAACAGTGTCACCCTGGCTTGGAGGATGCCTCCCTTCACCCACAGCCCTGTGGATGGCTACATCCTGGAGCTGGACGACGGAGACGGTGGGCAGTTCCGGGTAAGACGGGCTCCCTCCATCCAAATCCTGCTGTGTCTCTTAGCTTGTCAGGGCTCTGCCCTTAGCGCTGAGCCTCCCGACAATGGGGCCTCATGCGTGGTCTTAGAGGCGGCCTGGGGTCGCAGGAGAGAGAATACATTTCCACGGAGGGCTGCAGGAGTGTTGGTCACACAAAATATGGAAGCCAATTTCCATGAAAACTGCTAAAAGATGCTCAGCTGGGAAGAGAGGCGGAGCTCAAAGGAAGGGCTACCCACACACCTGCTCCCCAGTGAACAGGTTAGTCCAATCACGGTTACTCTTCCTTAGTGCCTTCTCAGATGCCACGCCCTTTGTGCTGTGAGCCCAGACCACAGCAACCATTCATGCCAAGTTTGACCACATCTGGCTTCTTAGGATCACGACGCTTTCACATGGGGGTGGTCTTGTTTCTCTCGAAGTACAAATGTTTGAAGGGTAGATAGCACTAGCTGGCCTCTCCTTGCATTCCCTTGTCCACCTGGCCAGGTGCACGATAGGGAGAAGACACTAACAGGGTTCATCTGTGTGACTCGGTAGCATAGAGTGGGGACAATTCTACTCCCACATCTCGTCTAAAACCCAGGACAGTCCCTCACCCTCCCTAGACCTCCTGAGAGCCCTCTCCCTTGAGATTTTACACTCGTCAGTGCAGGTTGCTGTTATGATGACATGAACATCAGGAAGCCCTGACCTTCTTCGGGCTCATCCATTCTAACATAGTGAAAACTAGATTCATTCTGACAAGAGAATACAATCATAATGAACTTTGCTTTTCTTCTCCCGGGGAATTGCATACAGTTAATAATACTTGTCAAAGACCAGCATTCCTTTTGTTTCCTGCCATCGCATGCTCTGTTTAAAGAAGCAAAGAATCGAGACACAACTGCCGCTCTCCTTGGAGACGGAGCCCTGAGTGAGATGGTCACATAAAGAAGTAATAATGGGAGGTATCTGAGCCAGTGACAACATGCGGACTCACTGCCCGTTAGTGCTTGCTCTGCAAATAAGCTCCACAACTGGGAACCAGGAAGGGAGTCTATGTTTTTAAAGGAGAAAAAACAAGATTGCTGGCAGATATTCAAAAGAATAACCATAGAGCTCAAATATAGACGACCTTTCCCCTATAAGATTTGGCCATGAAAAAAAGTCCACTTATGATAAATAAGATGGTATGCTGGGGGGAGGGCGAGAATGGGAGCTTTGAATCAAATCCAGGCAGACCTAAATTTTTAATTCTGACTCCTGAACTGATTGGTTGTGATCTTGAACAAGTTTTCTACCTTTTCAGATCTTGAACTCTTTGTGTATAAAAGGTGAAAAACAATAACAATGTCCTAGAGGTGTGAAGATTAATAGACTTTATATAATAATGCCTGTTATATAGCTGTTATTAATAACAAGGGAAACTAGATCCTCCCTAAACAACAAAGCAGGACAAACTAAGCAAAAGAAAATGAAATAGGAATGATAGAAAGCTATGGATTTGGTTACCTTTAGAAGAAGGGTAACTAATTTTTTTTGACATTTTCATTATTGCCTTTTATTATGACTATCTTTTAAAATCCTATCTTTGAATATCTGCAAGTGAATAATAACATGACTATATTACATACTCCAATATTATACATAGTAGTACATATGATTACCAGTAAGAAACATGATTACCAACAAACTCAGGTAGATGATGTATGCAGTTGATCATAACTCAAATCCACTGTAAGACAGGGACTATCTGTAAATTATCACAAAAAATAGAGTGGTCAAAAATAGCCTCCACGAAGCTACCACACCACAGACAAACCTCCCACCAGAAGGTTAAGTGCGTAAAACCATCCCCTCACCCATCTTGTATTTCACAGTTAAGCTGATTTGCCCTGATAAACAATAACAAAGAAACATTTAAGTAATACAAACTACTGTCCAGAATTTGCTAAAAGAATGAGCTCATCCATTTACTTTGCTCAGAAAGAATTGCCTTGCTAATTACAAAGGTTTGTAGAAAGCTAAGAATGTGTGCAGCGTCTGGCAGCGTTGACTAATGCATTCTGCAGTGTATAGTAAGGCTTCTTTCCTCAGTTCCTAGGCTAGGTTAAAAAAACACCACCACAACAACAACAACCAAACAAAGAAATAGAAAAATATGGCTGTTTTTCTGATGATCTGTTCTTCCCAACATCGCTTTAAAATAATTAGATTTTTTAAAATAGAAAAGAAAAGGGATTGTCTTGATCGCATGCTACCAGATTAAATATGTGCATCCCTTAGTACATCAGGAAGTAGTGAGTTTAGCACTTCCACGAGGTATTCCGACCCAGAGCAAATGGTCTGTAAAGCCACATGAGGTGACAAAGTGTCAGCAGAATTGCTTTGGGAATGTGATGATGTATACAGACATCAAAACTCCAGGGCACACTGAAAAACCTCTCCTAGGCTAAAAGGGTCTTGGACAAATCCACTGGGTTTTGTCCAAATACAATGTTATTCGGAAAGGCCCAGGTTTTCATCTGCCTACACTGCTCAGCCTTCAGGAGGGTCACCTTGGCACTCCCCAAGGCTTGCGTGCTGGGGATGTATGTACCAGTAGCCAGGGCAGAAGCCATCAACATGACATCCAAGCAGAAGGGCTGTGCCTGTTCCCAGGCCACTAACTCCAACAAACCCTTGCCCTGTTGTCAATTCTGAGCTCCTCGGGGTCATGACTGGGCTCTGCCTCTGTTCCCAGCCCATCTCTCAGCCACACATCCTTGCTGCCTTCCAGTCTCAGGTAGTACCAGATGATCAGTGTCAGCCACGAGAGGCTCAGGGGCAGCACTTACCGCCAGGCCAACTGCTGTATCTTCCCTAGGGACCGGCAAGTGCATGCTTAGGGTGGGCCAGCACTAAGCCTCAGCCCCTGAGTAACCCAGGCCTCAGGAGCATACAGGAAACCAAGAAAGGTCACTTTTAATGAGGAACAAAGGAATTTCCAGAAAAAAAGATTGATACAGAAATGCCTCACCTTCTTGAGAGACCCAGCACGAAGAAAGAAGCCTGGGTGTAGGGGTGAAATATCTCTGTTTCCAAGAGTGGCTCCAACCCAGAGCCAACCTTGGACTGACCTGTCCTTGTTGGCACCTTCCTTCTACTTTCTCTCTTCATGTGTGATGAGCCTTCATTTTAGAAATGATCATCTCATCTATCGCATAGCTCTAGTTGTCTTGCCTAAATTCCCATTGAAATACACAAACTTTGGAGGAATCCATACATCCTAGCAGGCTTCAGGTGTGTGTGTGTGTGTGTGTGTGTGTGTGTCTGTGTTTCTCTAGCATTGTGTGTGTGTGTGTGTGTGTGTGTGAGATTTCCTCAGACTGAATCCTAGCAGGCTTCAGGTGTGTGTGTGTGTGTGTTTCTCTAGCATTGTGTGTGTGTATGTGTCACATTATTTGACCTCACCAGAGGCAGGAAGTTCCTCAGGGTGAATCCTAGCAGGCTTCAGGTGTGTGTGTGTGTGTGTGTGTGTGTGTGTGTCACATTATTTGACCTCACCAGAG